GTACTAACGGTAGCTGTGGTATCGGTACTAACGGTAGCTGTGGTATCGGTACTAACGGTAGCTGAATGTATAACGACGGTTTAAAAAGGTGTTGAAGACAAATGAACCAGGATTCTGGGTTAAACATGTGGACTCTCATGATCTTAAGAGGATCTCATGATGAACTTCCTCCTCAGAGCCGGACGACTCTTCAGCGCTGACAGCAGAGCAGAGAGAGCAGCTCAGAGTTCACAAGATCAACGAGAGGAAACTGTGCATCGCCCGTCTGGGATCAGCCGTGGTGTCGGACCCCTACAGTAATGTAAGCCTGCACTGAGACTAGCTGATCTGAGACCAGACCTGTGTTTAAAGGAGCAGTCTGATGATGTAACATTTGTGTGATCAGATAAAGCGAGTGAAGGAGCTGCGTGGGATGCTGATGGAGTCAGACCCTTCTGTGGCGGTGACAGTCAGGAAGCTGGTGATGGTTTCTCTGATGGAGATCTTTAAAGATGTCGCCCCCACCTACAGGATACGTCCTCTGACCCCCGAGGAGAAGGCCTCCAAGGTAACCAGCATCAGTGTGTGTTTGAGCAAAGGTTCATCGGGTGGTTTGTGTTTGACTCTGGACTTGTTGGTCTTGACTCTAGACCTTTTAGTCCTGACTCTAGACTTGTTGGTCATGACTCTAGACCAGGCATGGGCAAACTACGGCCCGCGGGTCATATGCGGCCCGTCAAATATTGGTACAAAATTGTCCAAACTAAAATAAAGACTAGCGCTGGGCGGTATACCGGTTTTAATTTTCCGTATGATATGAATTCTTCATACACCATCATACCGGTGCATAGCGAAACAACTGCTGTCTGTCTTCAACAGGTAGTTAAATGTATTGTTCGCCACTGAAATCGCTGCAGTCGGAGCTAGTTCTCTTATATGTATTGAGAGGGACGCCTAGTCATGGTCATAACTTTATAACGCAACAATGAACAACCCACAACTAACGCTCTTTAACAGAGCAAAACACGACAGCACACAACAGTCTGTGACGCATAAACAATTTGTAACACTAATAATTGTACATTTATAAAAATTTCACCGCCGAACTGCATGCTGGGTACAGCTCATTCGCAAGCCTGCTAGCACAACAGTCTGCTAACAGCTGGGAGAGGCTCCGTCGCTCCAGTTACATTACATTAAAGAACAGAACAGAGAGATGCAGGATGAACAAAGACAGACCGGAGATGCACCGATAGAGTTTGACACATATGCAACGCTGATTACTGTAATATGTGTAGTATTTGTTATAAATGTACGTTGGTACATAAAAGCTGTACATGGAGGGGCTTAGGACCCAGGGGAATGTAGGTGAAGGAAACGGGAAGAGACAGAAGACACGCCACACAAACAGCAGTTCACCGCTCGTCACGATCCTGTAGACCAGTGATTCTCAACTGGTGGTTTGTCGCGGACCTGTTTTCAGTGGGTTGCGGGACTTTGCTTTATTCAGCGGAGTTATTCACGCTCCTCTCCAGCATTTACGGCACTTGTTCAGCGGTGCAGGAAAAACACCGACCAATGCGTTGTAAATCACGTCACGTGATGCAGTTTAGCCAATAAAATAAGGGTATTCTGATACGTTTCCTCTCTCAAGTGAGATGTACCCACACCGTGACACAGGGGGGAGAGACAAGGAAAGACTTAACACAGCAGAGCTCAAATAATGTTAGATGTGAATGTCAAATATCTGTATGATCCCTTCAAAAAAAGCAAATTGCTAAAAAGACCACAGTCTTTCACTGATGAACATCTCAGATCGGTTCTGAGAATTGCCACAACCAAACTGACACCAAACGTTGATGCACTGACAAAAAAGGGTGACCACCAACACTGTACCCACTGAAATTAAATGTAAGTTTTCTATACTTTTTAGGTCATGGCTTTTACTTGTAATTTATATTAGTTCACACAAACACTCTCCATTTATCTGCTACTGGCCCGGCCCGTCTGTCAAATATTAAAACTCAATGTGGCCCCCGAGCCAAAACGTTTGCCCACCCCTGCTCTAGACCTTTTAGTCCTGACTCTAGACATTTTAGTCTTGACTCTAGGCCTTTTAGTCCTGACTCTAGACTTGTTGGTCCTGACCTGTATCTGATGTGTGTCATGTGGCTGGTTGCTCTGCAGGTGAAGAAGGACACTCAGCAGCTCAGAGACTTTGAAGAGGGTTTGGTGAGTCAGTATAAGTTTTACCTAGAGGACCTGGAGCAGACAATCAAAGGTACACAACCACAGTAACACACACATTCACAGACAGAGGATCCAGGTACCACGTCAGTGTGTCTCACCTCCACCTGTAGACTGGAAGCAGACGAAGAAGAAGCGCAGTCAGGCGGTGGGTTTCCAGTCGTACCTCGGTCTGGCTCAGGTTGCCATTCGTTGCCTCTGTGAGTTGCTGCTCGCTCTTCCTCACTTCAACTTCCACAACAACATCATTGTCGTCCTTGTTCCCCTGATGAATGACTCCGTCAAGCAGGTGAGTGTCTGTGTTGCAGGTGTCAGGTATTTGTTTTGATGCGTTCAGGTGTATGTGTGTTGCAGGTGTCAGGTTTTGTTGTGATGCGTTCAGGTGTCTGTGTGTTACAGGTGTCTGGTATGTGTTGTGATGCGTTCAGGTGTCTGTGTGTTGCAGGTGTCCGGTATGTGTTGTGATGCGTTCAGGTGTCTGTGTGTTGCAGGTGTCAGGTTTTGTTGTGATGCGTTCAGGTGTCTGTGTGTTACAGGTGTCCGGTATTTGTTCTGATGCATTCAGGTGTCTGTGTGTTGCAGGTGTCCGGTATGTGTTGTGATGCGTTCAGGTGTCTGTGTGTTGCAGGTGTCCGGTATGTGTTGTGATGCGTTCAGGTGTCTGTGTGTTACAGGTGTCAGGTATGTGTTGTGATGCGTTCAGGTGTCTGTGTGTTGCAGGTGTCAGGTATGTGTTGTGATGCGTTCAGGAAGCTCTTCCAGCAGGACAAAGAGGGCGGGGCTTCCTTGGCCACTGTGCGGGTCATCTCCGGCCTCGTCAAGAGCCTCGGCTTCAACGTCAGACCTGAGGTAACGAATCAAACACACCAAAAGTTTGCTGATGTCACCTGTTTGATAGCGATGATCATAGTGATGTCAGACCCCCCCACTGATGTAATGCCCCCCCCAACACACACACACACACACACAGCTGCTGAGGACCCTGCTCAGTCTGCGGATAAAGGAGGTGCAGATGAAGAAGGACATCGAAGACACGGCACCAAAGAAGAAGTTCATGAACAACAAAGATAAGAGGAAGAACCTGTCCAGGATGCAGAGGAAGGTAAATGAAGCGCACCTGTCTGCTTCTCTCTGTGAACTATAGCGTGAACGGATCGCACCTCACACGGTGGTAACTCCGTCAGTTATCCGACCACCTTTAGGGAGCTAGTGTCCCACAGAGATGTCAGAACAACACCTTTGGCCTGTTATCTCACCCCGTAGCTGAGTCGTTAGGATTTCAGAATGATTGTCTTCCTGAGAGTCTTGTACGGCTACGCCCTCGGCCCTCTCATAGGATGTAACCCTCACACCCAGTATGAATAGTTACGTACATCGTCTGTACTTTACTATCGCCTATTTTGAGTTTCTCACCATTTATGACTAACACTGCCAAGTCTTCACCCAGAGAACTCACCTTAAGCTCCTCTGGTAGAGTCGGTCGTCACCTGTGTATCACAGGTTTCAGGGACAGGAAGAGGGTCACTATTCTAAAGAACCAGAGTCTGTAGTTTGAATCCCAGTCACTACAAAGGGCAAGGCTGTGGTTTTATTAAAGTGTTTTCACAACCATTTCAACTCAATGAAACAATCTCAGCGGTTCAGAAGCTAATGCTAACAATCCTGCATTAACAGGCTCTTTCGCTGTGAGTATTTTCTTTTTCTCACGCTGTCTTTTGGTAGCAGAAGTGTCTTCCAGTCCCCTCTAAGGGTGTGAGACCTTTAAGCCTAGTCTTCTTATTAAAGAAGCATAGTCCAGACTTTCTCTGAGTTCTGCTGCTGCCTTTTATGCTCGTCTGAGGCTGGCACCTCCCTCAAAATCATGCGTCACTCACACATGAGTGCTCCTGTTCTTTGGTCAGCCACAGAATATACCTGTTTGATCCTGTTAGAACAGGAAGGATCATATAAGGTTTGAATGACTGTATTACCTAGAGCAGGGGTCACCAACCTTTTTGAAACTGAGAGCTACTTCAACAGTACCGAGTAGTACGAAGGGCTACTTGTTTGATACAAACGTCCTGAATAACAAAGTTGCACAGATCACCTTAATAATAATAATATATGTGAAGAGACTGTCTGATCACATGTCAATGTTAGTTATTCCTCACAATAATTTTTAACAATGATTTCCACAACATGATGGTAGGAAACACAGATATATTTAAACTTTTATTTCTGTTCTTCTGTTTCAACATTTGAAAGTCAGAGGTATCACATCTCTGATATTTTTGTAAATATCTTTCTTGAGAGTTTTGTATGAATAAGCACATTTGTAGCATTTGGTTCAAAATCACACCTGTTATATTTTTATAAAAATGATCATTAACATTCTAACATTTTCTATGAAATCATTAACTGTCATATCTTCACATCATGTCTCGTTGGTAATAACCACTTTTGTAACATTTTTGAACAAATCATGATCAACAAATCAGCTCTGTCCCATGTTTATACAAATGATCAGTTATGAATATCCTGTGTTGTTTGGCTTTGGATCGGATGCCATTTATGATCTTCAGACAGGAGTCATCACGTGATCAAAGCCGGTTGGTGTTGCACATAGCGCCTGCTGGTGAATGATGCAGTGGTACTGTAGACATTCTGGGAAGTCTGGGTCACCTTTGCATTGCGCAATGAAGCCTGCATGCCGGCCCGTCATGGCGGGCACTCATGTATGCGGGAGCCCCGTCTGTTGTCACCGTCACCAGCTTTTACAATGGTACCTTTTCTCCACGAAGAAACTAGTAACCAGTCTCGTCTATAGCCGAGGGGGGATCCAACCCTCCGAGGCGCGCGAGCGTCTTCGGGCGCCCGCGTTCAGACCTCTAGTCTGGGCCTTTTCGGTCGGATTGCGTTGCCTCGCCTCTACCCCCGCCACCCAAGAGTTGTTGCCCCGCGGCCTGTTCCGAGGACTGACGGACCTGACGACGGGGTGCGCTCGCGGCGAGCGTCTGGCGCCAACGGGAAGCGCCCGCCATTCGGAACCTGAAAACCTAGTGCGGTACGGCAGCCTCTTCCTGGCTGTCCGCCGTGCGCCTCTGGGTACCCAACTCTCTTATGACAAGAAATATTGTCATTTTAAAATCTACAATAATGCAAGCGTTTTTGATTAAAAATGAACAGCAACTAAAATGTTTAGGCGGAGCTCCATGGTGACTTGTGCTATTTTTAGAACATGCCTTGCCGGCGACTCACGTGGTCCCCGCGGGCACCGTGTTGGCTACCTCTGACCTAAAGCGTCTATGCAGGTTACATGTTTAATCACTTATATCATGAAATAAAACCGGTTATATGCGTTAACCGTTATACTTTCATATTTTTCTACAATCTTCTAACCAAACACACACACCTGTACAGCTGAAAGTAACCTGTGTGTGTGTGTGTGTGTGTGTGTGTGTAGTGGAAGAAGGCTGAGGAGAAGTTGGAGAAGGAGCTGATGGAGGCTGAAGCCTCTGAGAGCAAAGAGAAGAAGATGAAGCTGGTGAGTTGAAAGCAGACAGAATACATTTAAAGTTTAACAAAGAAACTAAACTCTTCCTCTTCCTCAGCACACAGAGACTCTGAACATCGTCTTCCTCATTTACTTCAGGATCTTAAAGAAAGCTCAGAAATCTGTTCTTCTTCCTGCTGTTCTGGAGGGACTGGCTAAGTAAACACACACACAGGGACACACACAAACAGAGACACACACACACACACACACACTACTGTAGTACTGACTGTGATGTCACTTCCTGTCAGCTTTGCTCACCTAATCAACCTGGAGTTCTTTGACGACCTGCTCAACGTGCTGCAGAACCTCGTCCAATCAGGAGTGAGTATTCATTTTGACCCCGCCCCCTTAACGAGCCAGCGTCAGACCGACCAATCAATTAACTGATGGTCCTCATGTCAACAGGGTCTGACCAATCGGGAGAGTCTCCACTGTATCCAGACAGTGTTCACCATCCTGTCAGGACAAGGTCTGTCTGTCTTCATGTCTGTCTGTCTGTCACAGGTGTCTGTCTCAGGTGTCTGTCTCTCTGTCCTCGTGTCTGTCTCTCTGTCTCAGGTGTCTGTCTCTCTGTCTCTGTCCTCGTGTCTGTCTCTCTGTCTCAGGTGTCTGTCTCTCTGTCCTCGTGTCTGTCTCTCTGTCTCTGTCCTCATGTCTGTCTCTCTGTCTCAGGTGTCTGTCCTCATATCTGTCTCTCTGTCCTCATGTCTGTCTCTCTGTCTCAGGTGTCTGTCCTCATATCTGTCTCTCTGTCCTCATGTCTGTCTCTCTGTCCTCTTATCTGTCTCAGGTGTGTCTCTGTCCTCATGTCTGTCTCTCTGTCCTCTTATCTGTCTCTCTGTCCTCATGTCTGTCTCATGTCTGTCTCTCTGTCCTCATGTCTGTCTCATGTGTCTGTCTCTCTGTCCTCATGTGTCTGTCTCCTTGTCCTCATGTGTGTCTCTCTGTCCTCGTATCTGTCTCTCTGTCTCAGGTGTCTGTCTCTCTGTCCTCATGTCTGTCTCAGGTGTCTGTCTCTCTGTCCTCATGTCTGTCTCTCTGTCCTCATGTGTCTGTCTCTCTGTCCTCGTATCTGTCTCTCTGTCCTCATATCTGTCTCTCTGTCCTCATGTCTGTCTCAGGTGAAGTCCTGAACATCGATCCACTCACCTTCTACTCTCAGCTCTACAAAATGCTGCTGAGGCTCCACGCAGGTCAGAGCTCACCTTCACACTTCCTGTTCACTGATCCTCCATCACATGACATCACACTCACAGCTGCTGTCCATCTGTCTCAGGGGTGCCCAATGATGACATCATCATCGTGCTGCGCTGCCTGGACACCATGCTGACTCGCCGCAGGAAGCACGTGAGCCTGCAGAGGGCGATGGCGTTCGTGAAGCGTCTGAGCGTGCTCAGTCTGCACGTGCTGCCCAACGCCAGCGTGGGGGTCCTCGCCGCCAGCAGAGCCACCGTGCACGTGAGTGTGTTCATCTACAGAGCCGTATAAGTACACAAAGTACACTTTTATTTACTCTCTCTCTCTCTCTCTCTCTCTCTCTCTCTCTCTCTCTCTCTCTCTCTCTC